CGGAAGAGGACGTGACTACCCGGGTGGATTCCTTTCTTGGACGAATTAACACATTATCTGATAATGTTAATTCTCCCCTCTTGTACATCTTTTTCAACCAATCTTTGAAGACATAATAATTTTCAATTGGATGGCTAACTACCCGATGATATGGGTAGTAATTTGGGTCGCCACTGTGTTTGGACTCTTCAGGTCTTCTGCATTCTGGCAACTCCAGACCATTCTTGAGTGCTTGTCGGAACAATTTAGCGACAATCTCCCGCTTAAATGAATATTCTTTATTCATTTTTTCCTTGAGAGAGGGAAACGTTCTATCACCAGTTCCTGTGATTTGCCTCTGGCGCTCTCCTCCATCGGGAAAGGCTCGAGGTTTATCATTTCCTCCAAGAACTAATTTTGGTTGAGGATTTGGATTGTAAGCCTGTTTTGATTTTTCTTCATACTGCATAGGCTGCTTTCCTTTATCCACATTATATACTGCCTTTTTATCTTTATCAGGCCTAGGAGGAAATGCGGAGTAAACATCATTTCTCCTAGCATCAGGCGCCTTAGCCTTTTTGGGTTTATCAGGGAGGCTTTTTGACTTTGACAAGTTCAATTTTTCAAATTTTGCCACCCTGTCCAATAGATCTTGGAAGGTAGTGATTGAAGCCATGCATAAGAAGGGTTGCATTTTGTCATCAATGTTTCCCATCAGTAGTTGGACTGTATGTTCTTCTTCCAGCTGTTGCTCGCACTTCATGCTGAGATTGCGCCAGCGTGTTATGTATTTTGTTACTGACTCATCCTTCCTCCTTTTATCAAGGGCAAGATCAGCAATGGTAGTCTTCTCTGTTGCACTAACAAACCTTTTCACGAATAATGCCTCTAATTCTGCGAAGGTCTTTAGAGAATCATTTGGCAGTTCGGCATACCATTCGAAAGCAGTTCCACTCAAGCTGCTTACGAATTGCCTGAATAGCAGAGCATCATTGTCCCCTGTGTTTTCACAGGTTGCTTTGAACTGCGCCAGGTGTTGTCTTGGATTTTTATTGCTATCGAAGATATTGAACTTTGGCACAGAATATCCCTTTGGATATGATACCTGATCGTACTCTGCTGGGTACGGGCGACCTTTCCCTACCAACTTCTCTGCCTGTTCAGCAGCTATAATGGCCTTAATCTTTTCGCTAATTAAGCCCTCAAGCTGCGCTACAGTTACAGGTTCAGAGACACTCGCCACATTTTGTGGAGTACGCTGGCAGGTTAGATCATCAGTTTCTTTGCCACCTTTAAGTACACCTTTCACTCCTGAGGCTTGAGGCGCTTGAG